GCATGGGCAGCCGGGCCCCGGGGCCGGGGCAGCCTCACTTCCTCGCGGGACCAAGGCTGCGCTGTCACGCCAGGTTTGAACCGGAAGCGGGAATGCTGCGCAGATAGCGGACTCCAGCATCTGCGGCCGCGGGCTGAGGCGACTTGAAAGCGGCGATTTGGGCTGCAGCCACCGTCCCCGCAGGAGATTGCCTTTGGGCTGTGGGAGTCCAGCGGTGGTGGCGCGGGAGCCGGGCTGTCGGGGAATCGGGTCGTCCGAGCCGCCTGCCCTGGGCCCCGGACGGCCCTCTCTGCACCCCTTTCCCTCTCTGCACCCCTTTCCCTCTCTGCACCTCTTTCCGGGGCTCCCGTCCTCGCCACTCTCTCCCGCAGCAGATTTAGCCACAGACCTTCCTCTCAGTGCCCGAGGAACCCTCCTCCGCGTCCAGATTTAACTAGATGACTTGACTGATCGACTTTCTCCCCCTCTGGCAATTAGCTGTAATCAGCGAGTATCTGTTGACGTGTAAACCGCAGTCGCGTGGCGAGGAGCCTGGTCTCTGGACTCGTCACCCCGCTCGGGTTCACCCTCTGGCCGGCAGCGAAGTGACCACGCGCTCCTGCCTTCCTCGTGACCGTCCTTTCCTGTGGTGAGCATTCAGCGTCCGCTGCTGTTTTGACCCGGTTCAGATTAAGTAAAAAGACTTACAACTCAGAAGGGAAATGTGGCAGAAGAGCACGGTGGTAGCAGAGGGGTGAATGAGCTTGTCTGCAAACAGATCAATTCAGTTTTGGCCGAGGCCTCCCAGTGTTGAATTGCCCCGGAGGGTGGTGGGAGCTTTCTGCACAGAAGGCAAACATGCGTGTCAAGGAGCAAAGTGCAGACGGTGCCTGAAGCTCCAAAGTGAGGTCTGGTATTAAAGGAAATTAAATGTGGGCATTGCCAACATGTCGAAATCATAGGAATGGATGAGGTCCCACTGGGTTAAAATCAGAGGGAGAAGTCAGGAAACAAGGATGTTCTTTCGGGTGTGGGTGGGAGAAGAACCATCACAATGGACTGACGAAACAGAAAGGGTAATTGCTAACGGTAATTTATTGAGCATTTGCTGTGTTCCACGCACTGTTGGACAGGTACATGAATCCTCACAGTACCGCTTTGAAGTAGGCTCTAGTATGCATTATTTTTTTTCTTTCATTTTATCATTGAGAAAGCTGAGATGAAGAGAGAGTAGCTAACTTGCCCAAGGTTCTACCGCTTATAAACAGTAGCACCAGTACAGTCTGAGTACAGAGCCCACGCTCTTACCACTAGAAGAGAATGGCATCCCAAGGGCTGGATCACATTCAAGAGATGGGATTTGTCATCATTGTCAAATTCTGCAAAGGGGTCAGCACTGGGTTTGCTGATCCAGAGGCTGTTACTTAGGAAATAGAGATCATTTAGTTGCATGTTGGGAAGGGAAGCTAGATTGTTCTGAATTAATGCCTTTGTTGATTTCAGCTTTAATGGATGACACTCTTATTGTAGCTGATTACTCTCTGGTTCTTTTGGTTGCTTTTTCCATCTTAGGACCCTTAGACTAGTCTTTTCCCCTAATATCTCTGTCCTCCAGCTCTTTCTGTGATTAGCACAATTTCTTTCAGATCTTGGCTTTATTGTAACCTCCTCTGAGGCGTGTTCCCTAATAGTTTATAAGAAAAAAAACTAGAGGCCTGGTGCACAGATTCATGCACCAGTCGGGACCCTCAGCCTGGCCTGCGGAGATTGGGCTGAAACTGGCTCCCCAACATCCCCCGAGGGGTC